CGCAGTCGTAAATTCCCACAGTGTGCACTATGTGCTTCAAATATTGTGTGTAGTTTTTGTTTTATACAGTTGTCAGCCAGGCATCTAACTATGAAAAAATTACACTCCAAAAGACCCCGGGCTTCTGACAAAACAACCCGGGCTTAAGCCCAGTAAGCCACCCCCACGCTCCGCCCCTGGCGCACTGTAAATTGTGCCGAAAGCAAGTCTGGAAATACAATAAACTGGTGCATGCGTCACACTGTGCGCCACGTTATTGTTTCGGTGAAATGAATTTCTACAATACTGTTACTGTTAATTCTACTCTCTGCAGTGTTTAAATGCTTACATATACACACAGTTACTGTCCCTCCACACATACGACTCGGTTCTGCTTCTATGCCCCAGCTTTGTTGGGGCATAGAAGTACATCTACCCTTAAGTACATCTACCCTGTTGAACTTATTATGGGAAATAAATATTTAAAAACAAGCTGCTGATTATTTCACATTTTACTTACATTTAAATCTTACAAATATAGTTATTTGGCTTATATCGTGATAGATATCGTTATTGCCTGAAATGAAAAAAACATATCGTGATATGAAAAAATCTCATATCGCCCAGCTCTACAGTCAGGCTACCAAAATCTATCTCTGCCCTGCCCGTCCGGCTATTGTAGGAAGGAAAAATATATGTCAATGCTTTTGCATTCTTTCAGAAATGTAGCTGGGTAATTATGTCATTGGCATCGGTGAGCCACTGTCAATATGTGACATATTGAAATCGCGTTTGAATTTGCGCTTGTTTTTTGCTTTCACTTTGCAATCGTGCGAACTGTGTATAGAGAGCGACAGCACTGATCTGTGAGTGATGATAATTTGTGCACCAATTCCTCTGACATCGTCTTATTAATCGTTAGCTTACTATGCAAACATGACAAGTGAAATCTCCCGCAGCAAGCTTAAACATGTGAGAGGTTGATCACGCAGAGAATCGCTGAGCTTATGTGAGTGCGTGTGTAAAAGCAGCAGGATATATATTTTAGTTCTGCTGAGCCAAATAAGACAGGTCAGGGTGAAGAAGTTACAGCCAAAGAAAAGCTTACCACAAAATGGAGAAGTTATGACAAATCAGACTATAAGGCAAAAAGAGAGTGCAGCTTTATGGTTTCATGGACAAAATAATTTCTGTGGCTACAATATGACGAGCTAAATAACCAGGGCTGCACATAAGTGGTCCGCAGGTGCGCATTCGCTGTCAAAATAAAAAACAGGCACAAGGGTTAGGGTTAAATTTAAAAACTGTACTTTTGAGTTAAAATATATATTTATAATCTTAATAAATGACAAATTAAAAAGGCATGAACATTTTTTTGTATCGAAAAAATATCGAACTGTGACACCAAAGTATCGAACCGAACCGAACCGTGAATTTTGTGTATCATTGTATCGTTGCACCCCTAAAGGGTCCTTTCAACGTAGCACTCTTAATTCTTATTCTCATGTATATATCTCATGTACATCTCATGCACATATCTTTCCACGTAGCACTTTTAATTCTTATCCCTACTTTTATTTTTTTCCATGTCTATTTAAGTGCTATTTATGACACTATGTTTGCACTGAAGCACCGCAGCAATTTCCTAATGTTGTAAACCTGCTCAACATTTGGCAATAAACCCCATTCTGATTCTGATTCTGATATACAGTGGGGCAAAAAAGTATTTAGTCAGCCACCGATTGTGCAAGTTCCCCCACTTAAAATGATGACAGAGGTCAGTAATTTGCACCAGAGGTACACTTCAACTGTGAGAGACAGAATGTGAAAAAAAAATCCATGAATTCACATGGTAGGATTTGTAAAGAATTTATTCGTAAATCAGGGTGGAAAATAAGTATTTGGTCACCTCAAACAAGGAAAATCTCTGGCTCTCACAGACCTGTAACGTCTTCTGTAAGAAGCTTTTCTGTCCCCCACTCGTTACCTGTATGAATGGCACCTGTTTGAACTCATCATCTGTATAAAAGACACCTGTCCACAGCCCCAAACAGTCAGACTCCAAACTCCGCCATGGCCAAGACCAAAGAGCTTTCGAAGGACACCAGGAAAAGTATTGTAGACCTGCACCAGACTGGGAAGAGTGAATCTACAATAGGCAAGCAGCTTGGTGTGAAAAAATCAACTGTGGGAGCAATCATCAGAAAATGGAAGACATACAAGACCACTGATAATCTCCCTCGATCTGGGGCTCCACGCAAGATCTCATCCCGTGGGGTCAAAATGATCATGAGAACGGTGAGCAAAGATCCAAAAACCACACGGGGGGACCTGGTGAATGACCTGCAGAGAGCTGGGACCAAAGTAACAAAGGTCACCATCAGTAACACACTACAACGGCAGGGAATCAAATCCCGCAGTGCCAGACGTGTTCCGCTGCTGAAGCCAGTGCATGTCCAGGCCCGTCTGAAGTTTGCCAGAGAGCACATGGATGATACAGCAGAGGATTGGGAGAATGTCATGTGGTCAGATGAAACCAAAGTAGAACTTTTTGGTATAAACTCAACTCGTTGTGTTTGGAGGAAGACGAATACTGAGTTGCATCCCAAGAACACCATACCTACTGTGAAGCATGGGGGTGGAAACATCATGCTATGGGGCTGTTTTTCTGCCAAAGGGACAGGACAACTGATCCGTGTTAAGGACAGAATGAATGGGGCCATGTATCGTGAGATTTTGAGCCAAAACCTCCTTCCATCAGTGAGAACTTTGAAGATGAAACGAGGCTGGGTCTTCCAACATGACAATGATCCAAAACACACCGCCCGGGCAACAAAGGAGTGGCTCCGTAAGAAGCATTTGAAAGTCCTGGAGTGGCCTAGCCAGTCTCCAGACCTCAACCCCATAGAAAATCTGTGGTGGGAGTTGAAAGTCTGGTGTTGCTCGGCGACAGCCCCAAAACATCACTGCTCTCGAGAAGATCTGCATGGAGCAATGGGCCAAAATACCAGCTACTGTGTGTGCAAACCTGGTAAAGACCTATAGTAAACGTTTGACCTCTGTTATTGCCAACAAAGGTTATGTTACAAAGTACTGAGTTGTATTTTTGTTATTGACCAAATACTTATTTTCCACCCTAATTTACGAATAAATTCTTTACAAATCCTACCATGTGAATTCATGGATTTTTTTTTTCACATTCTGTCTCTCACAGTTGAAGTGTACCTCTGGTGCAAATTACTGACCTCTGTCATCATTTTAGGTGGGGGAACTTGCACAATCGGTGGCTGACTAAATACTTTTTTGCCCCACTGTGTGTGTATGTATGTATATATATATATATATATATATGTAATCCCCCCTGCAATCCCCCCTGGCTTCTGCTCCGTGGCTGCTGAGTGACCCCTCATCTGGGGCTCTCCTCAGCTCTTTCTGGGATAGTGGCGCGGTTGCCCCTCTGTTGATCTTCCTTGGTCTCTTATGTTCTGAGGGCCTCTGGATGTCTGGAGTTTTGATTTCCTCCATACCTGCTTCATGCCCTGGAGGACGGAGCTGTGGCTCCCCACACCCTCTAGCAGATCATTACATGAAGGAACCTTTTAAATACAAGCGTGCTCATGCTCACAGGTGTACACATGGGTGCTCACACACACAAACTACACCCTTTGTGGCTCCTACCTCAAAGCACACTGTGCGCTGTCGATCTTACGTGCTGCACAATGATGTTTAATATTTACTGTTATAATCACATAGATCATCGTGATGTTGTTTATTATGTTGCTCTTTTTTTTCTTCTGCTTTTCTTTTTTCTTTCTCAACAGGTGATCCAGGTGATTGTTATATGTATTTTTTTTGTCTGCTTATTTTGTTGGTTTTTGTTTTTTGCCCTTTATCCCCGTCCCTCTTCCCCGCTGTTTTTCTTTCCCTCTTTCTTTCTCCCCTTTCTTTTCCCCAGTCAAGTATGTCCCGTATTTAGCAAGTGAAAATAAAATAAACAAAAGGTGAATCAAATAGACCATTACAGCAAGGCTGGGATGGTCCATTTGGCAAAGTAAATCCGTTGGGCATCTTTCTTTGCCTTTAGACAATAATTCTGATGGCAAAAGAGCCAAACGGGACAGGCAAAAAAAAAAAAAAAAAAAAAAAAGTCTCATCAAGTGTGATAAGTCCCAGCTGTGCTCTCCTCCTGTGTCCCATTCCCTTGTTATCCCTCAGTGTATTTTAGCCCTGTCTTTCTCTCTGTCAGTGTTGCGTCGCCCCCTCATGCTGTGTGTGTTTCCCTCTGTGCTCCTAGTCTCTTGTCTCCAGGTTTCTTAGAGTTTAGTTTTAGTTTCAGCTTGTTTTTTTGCAAGTTTGTTTTTGGAGTTTTGTCCTATAATTGCAATAAAGCAATTGAATTTACAAAAAAAAAAAAGTGATTTAACTCACTTTTTTCTTTTTTAAAGAAACCTTTATTGCATTGAGATGTCAGTGTATTTATGCAAGTAGTCTTTTATTGCTAACAACAACTCAGCTTCAACCTGGGACATTATTTCTGTTTGCAATATTCAAATCCATACAAACACATTTATATTTGAGGTGAATTTCGCAAAGTTTTAGTTTTTCTGGATTGAGCAGTTTGTGCCAGTGTTACGTTCCCCTGAGGGGTCTAGGCGGTGAGGGGAAAGTAACAAAAAGTGACCGGGTCAGAAAAAGGAGTCAAGGAGGCAAAAGGGTTAAATCAAAGAGTTTTATTAAAGTTCCCTTTCAAACTCAACTAAAAGAGACGGACAAGCCGCTATCACCATTTAAGAAAAACAAAACTCAGGCATTGGTCAATAAAGTAAAACGTAAGCCAAAAAGAAGGAGAGCAGCTCACTAGCTGCAAACCACAATAACACAGCTCACTAGCTGTAACCACACACACACACACACACACACACACACACACACACACACACACACACACACACACACACACACACACACACACACACACACACACACACACACACACACACACACACACACAAGCTACAAACACGCACAGCTCACTAGCTGCAACGGCACTCTGGCCCAGAGCTCACCTTTCCCTGGGCTTAAATCTCCTTAATTACTGACGTGAGTCAGCTGTGTAAAAGGGAAAGGTGGCACCTCAGGCAGAAGAGGTAGTGTGACACGCCCACACAGGCACCTTCAGGAGGAGGCCCAGCTAAGGCCGTAACACCAGTGAACAACTGTTTGAAACTTGCTGGTGGCAAGGAAACCCACTTTGTGTTGAATACAAAACGACATACGTTCCAGAGTCGTCTGTTTCTAATACCAGTTGTGCTAACAAGACAGCACAAAGACAGAAGGTGTATTTCAAGAGTTGTTTTTTCCCCTCTAATACTAAATAAAATGATTTATACATCTTTAAACAACCAGGCAGGTCAGAATTGTTCACATAAGACACTAAAGACACTCAGCAGTTACAGAATCACTGCAATAATGAGACACAATCTTTAAATTCTTAAGAAATCCCTCATGTAGACGTTAAACGTGATTCTGAGTCCATGAGAGCCTGCAGATTTGTCTGTGCATCTGCAGTTACACAGCTTATCTAACAGAAGGAGATACTTCTACCTGCACAGAACACAGACGCACTGAGGAACCACATGAATGGTGCCAGACTCCAAAGCCAGGATAAAGAGGTTCAGTGAATGTGGTGTTGAAGGTGTGGAGGTGGATCAGAGAGTCACTGGAGACATTGTAGAAGGACAGAGTGCCAGCAGGACAGTCCACATACACTGCTACTCGCTTAGGGCCACAGGAAGGGGACAAGGAGGATGAGGGGTGAATGACTGATATTCTCTGATTGTGATACACAGTGTAGCCGCGGGCATTAGAGCAGTCCAGACTCCAGGACTGAGGATTCTCTCCAAATCTGCAGTTTTTTCGTTCTCCTTTCCTTGCAATTCCTCTGTAACTTACTGATATGTCAACCTCACCTGTCCACTCCACCTCCCAGTAACACCGACCATGTAAAACATCTTTACACAGCAGCTGACACCAGTCAACAAATCTGTCAGCATGATCGGGATATATGAAGTTGTTTCTCGTATGTGTCACCTTCATGTTATTCATAGACAGTTTGAGATTTTTGTTTATTGTATTTGTGTTGACTGTAAGTTTAGAGAGATCTGTCAAGAAAAGAGACAATGCAGCTGGAGTTAATCTACCAGCTGTTCCTTTAACACTTCACAATATCAGTGATAATCTTAAGAGAATGACACCAAAATATAAAGACAGCTTAATATTTACTGTTTTATCTTTATGAATTAAAAAAACAAAACACTTACACTTCTTCAATCCTGGTTTCAACCACTCTGCTCCAGCAGGTTCCACCCTGAAATGACAAATATCAGCACCATATCTTTCAACATGCAAAAACAGAAATTACATCCAGTGTATCAACACCCATTGTGCTCAGTCATTAACAATAATGTCATCTCATCGACCTTAGGTTTTCCAGTTTCCAGCGTTGATCCTTTACTCCAGTCTGAAGCTCTACTCCTGCATCCTCTGGATGATTGTAACTCAAGTCCAGCACTTTCAGATGAGAGGTGTTGGAGTTCAGAGCTGAGGCCAGAGAAGCACAGCCATCCTTTGTGATCAAGCAGCCCGAAAGCCTGGAGGCACACAAAATGAGGCTGGATAAGCTACTAAAGCAACAAAACGCTGACGTACTGTGATCTATCATTTAATTAAGCTGATTATTATCATCACATTTTGTTTCTTTAATTATAATCCAGACCATTAACTTCAACCAATAATCAGGTGTCCCAATAGAAAACGTAATAAAAATAAATATTATAATATAACAATGTAAGCAGAGAAACAGTCATCTTAATTCACAGTGTAAATACTGATTGCAGAGGCTAATCTTAACCTGAGAGTTTCCAGTTTGCAGTGTTGACTTTCCAGTCCAGTGGACAGTGCCTTCACTCCTGTATCCTTCAGGTTGTTGTTATTCAGGTCCAGCTCTCTCAGACTCGATGACTGGCAGGAGAGAGCTGGAGAAAGAGCTTCACAGCTTTTTTCTGACAGGTTGCAGACACTCAGTCTGAAAAGACAATAATGAATAGGACACAGTGATTGGTTTGAATAAACAAATAATCTAAAAATGAGCATAAAATCTTATCAACTACAGTGGTATGCAAAAGTTTGGGCACTCCTGATAATTTTCATGTTTTTCCTTCATAAATCATTGGTTGTTTGGATCAGCAATAGTGTGCAATAGTTACTTAAACTAAATTAGGCAGGTGCATAAATTTGGGCACCCCAACAGAAAAATTACATCAATATTTAGTAGATCCTCCTTTTGCAGAAATAATGCCTCCAAACACTTCTTATAGCTTCCAATGAGAGTCTGGATTCTGGTTGAAGGTATTTTGGACCTTTCGTCTTTACAAAACATATCCAGTTCAGTCAGGTTTGATGGTTTCCGAGCATGGACAGTCACACCATAGATTTTCAATAATATTCAGGTCTGGGGACTGAGATGGCCATTCCAGAACATTGTACTTGTTCCTCTGCATGAATCCCTTAGTAGATTTTGAGCAGTGTTTAGGGTCTGGCGCAACATATTAGAAAACAAAATTGGCTTTTAAGTTATCTTACTGTCAAATCATACATTTTTATACAGATACTTTAAAAGTCTCAGATTATTTGTAAATAATAGGCTCAGATTATTTACAAACTCTACTGTACAATACATTTTTTCCCATAATTTTCTATGAGGGTCATAGTGATGTACAAATACAGGTAGATGTTTTGTTGAAATCACATCCCAGACAACTTACACAGGATCAAATTAGGTAAGGGTAAAGCACAGTAAGCTGAACTTTTCAGGGGACAGCACTAGTTCAGAATTCATACCTTGTGATTTAAAAGGCACTGAGAGAATTTTTAGATAATGTCTTGTATAAATAACTGAATTAAGAAAACATGTACCCATAAATTGAATAAATATATTTGATTTATGCAAGCATGTATACTGTGGTTAAGTGCTCTATATGCCATTAGCAATCATGAAGTAACTCAAATGGCTCCAGATGGCCAAATATAAAAATGTTGGTACTTGTATCTGCTTTTAAAGGATCGATAAAGTTTTCTGCTGTGCTGTTTTACTCCCACAGCTATTCCTCAAAGTCACAACATTCAATTTAATTCAGTTTTATTTATACAGCATCATATCACAACAACAGTGTTCTCAAGTCACTTTATATTGAAAGGCATCCCCCCTTCAATAAATCTGTGGCTATATGAAAATCTGTGGCAATGTCAGACTCCCCCTCCCCAATCAGACCAGGAGTGACATGTTTAGCCGTATGTTCTCCTTAAATTGCTGGCTGTCTGAGTGGTGTCCCAGAAACGATGTGGGCTTCATAGATAATTGGCAGACCTTCTGGAGGAAACCTGGTCTTGTTAGGAGAGACGGCATTAATCCCACTTTGGATGGAGCAGCTCTCATTTCTAGAAATATGGACAAATTTATTAAACCCCCCAAAATATGACTATCCAGAGTTGGGACCAGGAAGCAGAGTTGCAGTCTTACACGCCTCTCTGCAGCTTCTCTCCTCCTGTTACCCCCCTAAAACCCCATTTCCATTGAGACTGTGTCAGCTCCCAAACAGACGAAAAACTAAAAACCAGCAATAAACAACTTAAACATAAAAAAATCACAAAGAAAGAACAATACAGTATCCACATCTGAAACAAAGAGTAAAACAGTGAAATGTGGATTATTAAATATTAGGTCTCTCTCCTCCAAGTCTCTGTTAGTACATGACTTAATAATTGATCAGCAAATCGATTTACTCTGCCTTACAGAAACCTGGTTGCAGCAGGATGATTATGTTAGTTTAAATGAATCAACACCCCCGAGTCATTCTAACTACCAGAAATCTCGAAGCACAGGCAGAGGGGGCGGTATGGCAGCAATTTTTCACACCAGCCTATCAATCAACGAAAGACTGAGACAGACTTTTAATTCATTTGAAAGCCTGATGCTTAGCCTTGTCCACCCCAGCTGTAAACCTCAGAAACCAGTCTTACTTGTTATCATCTATCGTCCACCTGGACCTTACACAGAGTTTCTGTCTGATTTCTCAGACTTTTTATCTGATTTAGTGCTCAGCTCAGATAGCATAATTATTGTGGGTGATTTTAACAATCATGTAGATGCTAAAAGTGACAGCCTCAACATGGCATTTAGTCTGTTATTAGACTCAATTGGCTTCTCTCAAAATGTAAAAGAACCCACCCACCACTTTAATCACACTCTAGATCTTGTTTTAACATATGGCATAGAAACTGAACATTTAACAGTGTTTCCTGAAAACCCTCTCCTGTCTGATCATTTCCTGATAACATTTACATTTACAATAATTGATTACACAGCAGTGGAGAGTAGACTTTATCACAGTAGATGTCTTTCTGAAAGTGCTGTAACTAAGTTTAAGAATATAATCCACCTACAGTTATCATCTTCAATGCCCTGTACCAATACAGAGCAGAGCAGCTACCTGAACGCTACTCCAACAGAGGTCGATTATCTTGTTAATAATTTTACCTCCTCACTACGTACGACTCTGGATACTGTAGCTCCTGTGAAACTAAGATCTCAAATCAGAAGTACCTGACTCTGTGGTATAGTTCCCAAACACGTAGCCTAAAGCAGATAACTCGTAAGCTAGAGAGGAAATGGCGTGTCACAAATTTAAAGGATCATCATTTAGCCTGGAGAAATAGTTTGTTGCTTTATATGAAAGCCCTCCGCAAAGCCAGAACATTTTACTATTCATCACTGATTGAAGAAAATAAGAACAACCCTAGGTTTCTCTTCAGCACTGTAGCCAGGCTGACAAAAAGTCAGAGCTCCAAAAACAAAAAGTTGAGCCAACCATCCCTTTAACATTAACTAGTAATGACTTCATGAACTTCTTCACAAATAAAATTTTTATCATTAGAGAAAAAATTACCAATAATCATCCCGCAGATGTAATATTATCTACAGCTACTCTTAGTACCATTGATGTTAAGTTAGACTCTTTTTCTCCAATTGATCTTTCTGAGTTAACTTCAATAATTACTTCCTCCAAACCATCAACATGTCTTTTAGACCCCCATTCCTACAAAATTGCTCAAAGAAGTCCTGCCATTAATTAATTCTTCAATCCTAAATATGATCAACTCATCTCTAATAATCGGCTATGTACCACAGGCCTTCAAGCTGGCAGTAGTTAAACCCTTACTTAAAAAGCCATCTCTAGACCCAGCAGTCTTAGCTAATTATAGGCCAATCTCCAACCTTCCTTTCATATCAAAAATCCTCGAAAGAGTAGTTGTCAAACAGCTAACAGATCATCTGCAGAGGAATGGCTTATTTGAAGAGTTTCAATCAGGTTTCAGAGCTCATCACAGCACAGAAACAGCTTTAGTGAAGGTTACAAATGATCTTCTTATGGCCTCTGACAGTGGACTCATCTCTCCGCTTGTCCTGCTAGACCTCAGCGCAGCGTTCGATACTGTTGAGCATAATATTCTATTAGCACGATTAGAGCACACTGTAGGTATTCCAGGTACTGCGCTGCAGTGGTTTGTATCATATCTATCTAATAGACTCCAATTTGTGCATGTAAATGGAGAGTCCTCTTCACACACTAAGGTCAGTTATGGAGTTCCACAGGGTTCAGTGCTAGGACCAATTCTGTTTACATTATACATGCTTCCCTTAGGCAGCATCATCAGAAGTCATAGCATACATTTTCACTGCTATGCTGATGACACCCAGCTCTATCTGTCCATGAAGTCAGATAACACACACCAATTAGTTAAACTGCGGGAATGTCTTAAAGACATAAAGACCTGGATGGCCGCTAACTTTCTGCTTCTTAATTCAGATAAAACTGAGGTCATTTTACTTGGCCCTGAAAATCTTAAAAATGTGATATCTAACCAGATTCTTACTCTAGATGGCATTACCTTGGCCTCCAGTAACACTGTGAGGAACCTTGGGGTCGTTTTTGACCAAGACATGTCCTTCAATACACATATTAAACAAATATGTAAGACTGCTTTCTTCCATTTGCACAACATCTCGAGAGTTAGAAATATCCTGTCTCAGGGTGATGCTGAAAAAATAGTTCATGCATTTATTACTTCTAGGCTGGACTACTGCAATTCATTATTATCAGGATGTCCAAAAAACTCACTGAAAAGCCTTCAGCTAATCCAAAATGCTGCAGCAAGAGTACTGACAGGGACTAGAAAGAGAGAGCAGATTTCTCCTGTTTTGGCTTCCCTTCATTGGCTTCCTGTTAAATCCAGAATTGAATTCAAAATCCTGCTCCTCACATACAAGGTCTTAAATAATCAGGTCCCATCTTATCGTAATGACCTTGTAGTACCATATTACCCTATTAGAGCACTTTGCTCTCACACTGCAGGCTTACTTGTTGTTCCTAAAGTATTTAAAAGTAGAACGGGAGGGAGAGCCTTCAGTTTTCAGGCCCCTCTTCTGTGGAACCAGCTTCCAATTTGGATTCAGGAGACAGACACTATCTCTACTTTTAAGATTAGGCTTCAAACTTTCCTTTTTGCTAAAGCATATAGTTAGGGCTGGATCAGGTGACCCTGAATCCTCCCATAGTTATGCTGCAATAGACGTAGGCTGCTGGGGGATTCCCATGATGCACTGAGTTTTCCTTTCCAGTCACCTTTCTCACTCACTATGTGTTAATAGACCTCTCGGCATTGAATCATATCTGTTATTAACCTCTGTCTCTCTTCCACAGCATGTATTTCATCATGTCTTCCTTCTCTCACCCCAACCGGTGGCAGCAGATGACCCCGCCCCTCCCTGAGCCTGGTTCTGCTGGAGGTTTCTTCCTGTTAAAAGGGAGTTTTTCCTTTCCACTGTCGCCAGAGTGCTTGCTCATAGGGGGTCATATGATTGTTGGGTTTTTCCTCTGTATCTACTGTACAATATAAAGTGCCTTGAGGCGACTGCTGTTGTGATTTGGCGCTATATAAATAAAATTGAATTGAATATGTAAAGAGCAGAGTTTTTTGCACACACTGAAAATCCTCAAAAAGGAAACAAAGATACCAAAAAGAGAAAAATTAAAAATAATCATAAGAACTGACCTCAGAGTTTCTAACTTTCGTAACGAATGCTCTAGTCCATCTGACAACAGTTGTACTCCTGAGTCCCCTGGATTATTGTAGCTCAAGTCCAGTTCTTTCAAGTGGGTAAGGTTAGAGTTGAGAGCTGAGACAAGATACCTACAGCCATCCTCTGTAATCTGACAGCCTGACAGTCTGCCGAACAAGAAAACAACACAAGTCCAATTTATTTTCATTTTCTATTTTCAGTATCCCGAGCTGAAAAATTTGTAAAGGATGGTGCTTAGTTAGGGATGAAAGAGGGAGGACACATGACACTCATTGTGATTCCATAACCTGTTTTTTCACAGGTTAAAGATTGTTACATGTCTGATCTGACCATATCAGTTATTTATATTATTTATCCATACCTTAGAGTCTCCAGTTTCCAGTGTGGGCTCCCCAGTTCAACAGAAAGTGCTTTCACCCCAGAATTCTGCAGTATGTTGTTACTCAGGTCTAGCTCAAGCAGACTAGAGACTGGGTTACTGAGAACTGAAGTCAGAGCTTCACAGCTTGTCTTTGAGAGGTTACAGTCAGTCAGTCTAAAAACAGAATGTGAAAAAACAAACAAACAGATTTTTAAATACTGAAACAAAAGAAATGCTGCTTTCCTGTTTTCAATAAATGTGTACCTGTCTGTGTACTTACATGGCTTTTTTGGAGGCTTTGATCACTGGCAGCAGCCTCAGAAGAGCCTCCTCCGAAGCAGAGTATTTCTTCAGGACAAACTCATCCAGATCATTTTCTGATGACAGTAAGATGAAGACCAGAGCTGACCACTGGGCAGTAGACAGTTTATCCACAGAGAGGGTTCTTGAACTCAGGGACTGTTGGATCTCCTCCACTAGAGAACGGTCATTCAGTTCATTGAGACAGTGGAACAGATTGATGCTTTTTTCTGCAGACAGATTCTCACTTATCTTCATCTTAATGTACTGGACTGTTTTTTGATTGGTTTTTGAACTGCTTTCTGTCTGTGTCTGCAGGCCTTTTAGAAGATCCTGATTTGACTGCAATGAAAGACCCAGGAGGAAGCGGAGGAACAAGTCCAGGTGTCCATTTGGACTCTGCAAAGCATTGTCCACAGCACGTTGGTAGAAGTCTGTTTTTACAATCTTATTTTTAGGCGTTTCAGATGTCTGAGATGCTGTTTGTTCCTCTGGTAGCACGCTGACTCCAGAGTTGATGAAGGCCAGATGGACATGAAGAGCAGCCAGAAACTCCTGAACGCTCAGATGGATGAAGCAGAACACTGGGTTCTGATATAGCCCCTTTTCCTCTTTAAAGATCTGTGTGAACACTCCTGAGCACACTGAGGCTGCTCTAATATCAATGCCACACTCCGTCAGGTCTGATTCATAAAAGATCAGGTTTCCTTTCTCTAGCTGGTCAAAAGCCAGTTTTCCCAGAGATTCAATCATCCTCTTGCTTTCTGGACCCCAGTGACAATCTGTCTCAGCACCACCATCATACTTGATCTTCCTTACTTTGGACTGAACCACCAGGAAATAGATGTACATCTCAGTCAGAGTCTTAGGTAATATTCCTCCCTCTCTGGTTTTCAACATATTCTCCAGAACAGTAGCAGTGATCCAGCAGAAGACTGGGATATGGCACATGATGTGGAGGCTTCGTGATGATTTGATGTGGGAGATGATCCTGCTGGCCTGTTCCTCATCTCTGAATCTCTTCCTGAAGTACTCCTCCTTCTGTTCATCGGTGAACCCTCTGACTTCTGTCACCATCTGAACAAACTCAGGAGGAATCTGACTGGCTGCTGCAGGCCGTGTGGTTATCCAGACATGAGCGGAGGGAAGCAGTTTCCCCCTGATGAGGTTTGTAAGAAGCACACCCACTGAGGCGGACTGTGTAATATCAGTTAGAGTTTCACTGCGGTGGAAGTCCAGAGGAAGTCGACACTCATCCAGACCATCCAAGATGAACACAACTTGGAAGTGTTCAAACCAGTAAATTCCTGCTTTTTTGGTTTCAGTAAAGAAGTGATGAACAAGTCCCACCAAGCTGAACTTTTTCTCTTTCAACACATTCAGCTCTCTGAATGTAAATGGAAATGTAAACTGGATGTCCTGGTTAGCTTGTTCTTCAGCCCAGTCTAGCGTAAACTTTTGAATTAAGACTGTTTTCCCAATGCCAGCCACTCCTTTTGTCAGCACTGTTCTGATTGGTTCATCTCTTCCAGGTGACTTTTTAAAGATGTCTTCTCGTCTGATTGTTGTTTCTGATCTGTCTGGCTTCCTGGATGCTGTTGCGAGCTGTCTGACCTCATGTTCATTATTGACTTCTGCAGTCCCTCCCTCTGTGATGTAGAGCTCAGTGTAGATCTGATTCAGAAGGGTTGGGTTTCCTGCTTTAGCGATCCCCTCAAACACACACTGGGACTTCTTCTTCAGATTACTTTTAAGTTTACGTTGACATTGTGGAGCAAAAAGTTCTAAATGGACAGAAATTGCATCAGTGAGCAAAAATCTACCAAATCTACCAAATCTGCACAAACAAAGTTTACAGTTGTAACAGTACTGTATATGCCTTGTGAACAGTAGGTGCTGTTATTTTCCCATCTTGGGATAATAATGGCAGAAGAATTCAGAAGGTAGCAGAAATATAATGAAGTACAACAGAATATGCTGTTATGGTTCTTCTCTTGTTATCAATAAAAGAGTAAATGAACCAGTAATTTAAGAATTAAAGTAAAAAAAAAAACGAATTTGAAAAAAAAAACCCCAAAAAAACAGTGTAGTATAATTTCTTGTTCGTTTAGTGTTATTGGATACACTTAGAAGAGATTCTCATTTAATCTAAAATGTTCAGTTCCTATTTTGGGAATGAGAGTGTAACCTAGGTTATTTTCACATTTTTCCATAGCAACTGTGATTCAAGTCCAATGTGGTGGATGACACTTGAGCAACCTCTGCATGGTGTCATGTGACAAAACTCCTTAAAAAAAGATACTGAACATTTTATTGATCCTTGCAGGCAGCGCAATTTATAAGTGCAAGTAAATAAAGGACATTTCATATCCTTCTTTTTTAATGTGTTACTGTAACCAATTATAGACCACCTAATTTGAAGTCTAAATCTACTGAAACAAGGTACCAGCAGCAGCAGCGCAATAGTAGTGACACGTAAGCATAAATGTAGCTCAGGTAGTGTTTTCACTGGAAATTTCAGTATAAAACAACTGCTAAATACTTTATTTTAACAACACCTAAAGTAACTAAAACTGGTAATTCTTTAGGAACTGCACAATAATATCACATTATGAAACATATTTTACATAACAAGAAAGAGAAACTGTCAAAAAGTTAACAGAAGGAGAGGGAGAGAGAGCCTGAGCCCGAGGACGGCCATTGCAGGGACAACCGCAACCCCTACTCAGAGAAGAGCAGAGGAGAGCCCCGCAGGCTCCACCAGAGCAGTCTGAGCTCCAGGCACACAGACCCGAGACCCAAGTGCCATCCACCCCGCAGCAGGGGCCCAACAGTGCCAGGGGGCCCATGTCCCACCAAGCAGTTTAATTTTATTTATACAGTGCCAAACACAACAGTAGTCACCTCAAGGCGCTTTATATTTTATACCAGGGGTGGGCAAATCCAGGCCTCGAGGGCTAGTGTCCTGCAGGTTTTAGATATCACCCTGGTTCAACCCACCTGAATTAAAGGATTAGTTCATTACTAGGCCTCTGGAGAACTACAAGACATGTTGAAGAGGTAATTTAGCCATTTGATTCAGCTGTGTTGGATCAAGGACACATCTAAAACCTGCAGGACACCGGCCCTCGAGGCCTGGAGTTGCCCACCCCTGTTTTATACTGTAAGGTAAAGACCCTACAATAATACAGAGAAAACTCCAACAATCAAACGGCCCCCTTGAGCAACAACTTGGTGACTGTAGGAAGGAAAAAATCACTTTTAACAGGAAGTAAACTAAAAACTGAGACCAGGTTCAGAGAGGGGCAGCCATAGTTAGTGAAAAAACTAAGACCACTCAGTGCATAGGAGGTCTCTGAATGGTCTGGATATGGACCACCAGTGACGCTGACCCCAGCCAAATCCAAAACCAGTGAAAAAAGAAAACATCAGAAAGGATGAGGAGAGAAAAATGTCAGTTTCTCCACCTTTTGGGTGTTGCCTCATTGTTCCCCTTCTAGTACACCTGTTGTTATTTCTTGAACATCAAAGCAGTTGAAACAATCCCCAGAAGTTGAATTAACCTGTTCCTTTGTTATTTTTTGGGCAGCGTTGTTTCTTTGGTACTATATTGCTATTAGATGCTGACAGTTTGCAGACATGCCTGGGTTTGTCTCATGCACTAGGGAACTTAAATTGCATTGCTGTAGAAATTATATCATGATGCGACCCTTATATCACATACTAACTTATATTTACCATAGACAATATGATATTGCACAGCCCTATTTAAGAATTTCTACACTCACAAAAATCAGTTATTAGGTTTTTTTTGGGGGGGGGGTTAGGACCAAAACTGCTAATGTGATGAGTGCTAATGTGCTAAGTGAGGAATTTTCTAAATAAAAGACAGAATCGGTATATGGTTCAGGAACTGAATTTTTAAATAATTGCACCCAAACAGATCAAATATAGTACAATGTGCAATTTCTGTCAACTGCTCATCCATGAAAACACTGATAAATGACTGCAATGATCTGTCACATTTACTGATCAGGCTCATTTTACTTACTGTTCTGCAGATAGTCAGCCATGCCGTTCTGTTCCATTTTCCTCAGGAAATGCAGGGCGAGCTTCACCAATGCCTCTCTGTTCTTGTGTTCTTCACCCTCGCCCCCCAGCAGCATCTCTTCCTCCATCTGACTCTCTGAGTTATCTGGAAACAACACCTTCTGGATCTTCTTCAGCTCATTTTTCACAAAAGTGATAATGTTGTCCTCCAGCAGCTTGAACAGGATATAACAATTAATGAAACCAGATTTAAATCATCACAATGACCATCAGACACAAGTGCAGCATGGAGATGACTGAGAATAAAACACATGTAAAAGAAGTTGTTGTACACACCATAAAGATAAAGACTGAGTCCGGATGTGATTGATGCTGCTGGGCAGGCTGATCACTTGGAGCCTCTGTACTTTCCTCGTCAAATCTGGAAGAATTGTGAAAAATTAGCTCCCATCATATCTGTTCACACAAAAACAACCACAAGGCAAAGGTCCATCTAGTAACATTTGGTCTCAAACAGTGAATGTGAGTGACTGTGAGCAGTGAGTGATGCTGAAGCTTTTAAGAATTAACAGGTTTCTGTAGCTTTCAGCATCCTCAGCTGGGTCTAGTCCTAACAGCTTGCACTAACTCCCCCTCCTTCACTGTAAACTTCTGAAGTTCTCTAGTCTGAAGCAAGTCATCTACAACCTCCTACTGCTCCTCTTTAGGTTCTCCGACTGGTTATACTGGAAACTTCAACGTTTCACTAAGATGAGCGCTAGTATTCAGTTTTCACTATCATCCTGAAGTACTTACGCCTCGTTAACAGAGTCGAGTTCATCGCTGGAGTTATGAAGAACAGATTCATCGCACGTTGTGGGTGCTGATGAATCAGGTTCAGAAGATGCTGGTATCTGTTGTAACCTGAATAACAGCAGATAAGGTTAAATGAAGAAGAAAAGATGCCCCTTGGCTGCAGTGAGTGACAGATGTTATTGTAAACAGCTGATGTCTGGCTTGGTGGACAGATGTGCTACCACTACATCTCTATGTTCAGGTTTCTTTTAGTCACAACATTCTCAACCACATGCTTCGTCTCCTTGCAGCTCTGTAGAGACAAAAACAATGAATAATTAGTAAGATGTAATGCAACGACTTACTGTTTCACAAATAATCTTTGTAATAAATTCACGATCGCATCCATGATCCAGTTCTTTATGAAGGATAACCAGCTGCATATGGGCAAGAAAACACATAATTACAATGAACAGCATGAAGTTAATTAACTCCTGGTTAAAATGTTTTATTTGCTAAAGTCCAGTTAAATATTTCTGGTAGCTTTCCATCCTTACCCTTCATTAGCAGGCAGGTTCTGACTGTTCTCTGTATCTCGGCTAAAATCAATATATCGCTCATTTGAGCTGCTGCTCATCGTGGACACACAGACGGGTTCAGGTTTAGGAGATTTTTTTCTCCGATGTTTCCTGATAAAATATCGGTAAATGTATCAAAGGTCACACATTCAGCTTAACTGTAAAACATTTTAATAGAGAATAAATTGTTAAGTTTTAATGCTGACAACAACTCACTTTGTGTCTTGTGATCCTTGTTTGAAGTCAATATGTCGCTCATTGGACTGGTCGCTCATCATTGACACACAGCTGGGTCCGGGGAACAATAGGAAATGTATCAAAGGTCACAAATTCAGTTTAACTGTCACAGATTAAAATAATATAATAAATAAATACAGTGGTTTGAAAAGTATTTGCCTCCTTTTCTTTGTAAAATTTACATGTTTCTGGCACACACTTGACTGCAGTCTACGCTGCCAAGGGTGGCACAATCAGTTATTAGGTTTAGGAGAAAGTACTTTTTCCACAAAGGGCAGGTAGATTTGATAGATTTTTGGCCTAAATAAATTTAAATTTAAACAACTCACCTTGTCTCCACTGGTGCTTGTTTGAAATCAATATATCGCTCATTTGAGCTGCTGCTCATCGTGGACACACAGACGAGTTCAGGTTTAGGAGATTGTTTTCTCTGACGTATCCTGATAAAATATTGATAAATGTTTCAAAGGTCACATATTCAGCGTAACTGTTAAGTTTTAATGCTGACAAAAACTCACTTTGTTTCCTGTGCTCCTTGTTGGAAATCAATATAGCGCTCATTTGATTGGTCGCTCATCACGGACATACAGTTGGGTTCAGGTTCACGGTGGGCTGTGTGGGGTCTGTGCTGCTTCTCTGGGCTTCACACACACAGTTTTACATGTGAATAAAAATGATGGTGCAGTGATTTAAATGCAGAGCTGTAGCATGCAGAAGAGTCCCTGGCAGTAAAGAAAGTCATCTGACCTCTGAGCTTTGGTGATCTCGTCTCCACACAGAGTGGCTTTAGAGGGAGGAGGAAGCTCCACTTTGTTCTCACACAGCGACATCACAGAGTCAGCTGAAGCACAGAAACCTGCAGAAAAAAAAAAGATTTCTCCTCATTCTGAGTGTCACAAACTCACCGCTCTGAGTGAAGCAAATCAGAGTCAGAGCCCAGCAGTGAACCGTAGGCCTTACTCACCTCTACACGGAGACAATCATCTGCAGCTTCACAAAGACATAAAATGAAAGTAAATAATAACCAGGAAGCGATGACGTCACTGCAGGCTGCTACGACTCTTCTTTTATTCTTTTAAACATGTAGGAGCAATACTGCCCCCTGCTAGGCTGGAGTGGGCAGGATAGGCAGGATTTTTAAATGGGCCAAGAAATTCATCCACAAAAACATAAAAAAGAGCTACTTTACTGTGCTTCATGTCACTCCATCAAAGTTTGTTCATAACTTTAAAAATGAAACTTTTTGCCTACAGTTTATACCGAGTGCCTCAGTTTGACCAAACACTTCACAGTGTAGAAATGTTTTCCTTTTGTTCCACGTGCTACTATTCTTCTCAGTGTCCACAGCAAACTCCTGAGATGTGCATTAAAAATGAAGGCAGAAGTTACAGAGAGGGAAGGATAAAAAAAAAAATAAAAAAAACCCCACAAAATTTAAAATTTTGCAGCCACAATAAGTCAAAGTGTGTCTCATAGTTTCACCGGTTTTATTTGTCAGCCAAGCAGACAAATCGTCTCTTCTCCTTGAACTTTGCGTCTGCCACACTAACACCAACACCCAAAACAACTAAGTGCTGTATCCTACCAGACCTGAGTCCACCATCCATCCATCCATCTTCATCCGCTTTATCCGAGGCCGGGTCGCGGGGGCAGCAGCCTAAGCAAAGAGGCCCAGACCTCCCTCTCCCCAGCCACCTCCTCCAGCTTATCGGGGGGAACTCCAAGGCGTTCCCAGGCCAGCCGAGAGATATAATCTCTCCAGCGTGTCCTGGGTCTGCCCCGGGGCCTCCTCCCGGTGGGGCATGCCTGGAAGACCTCACCCAGGAGGCGCCCAGGGGGCATCCTTGTCAGATGCCCGAACCACCTCAGCTGGCTCCTTTCGATGTGGAGCAGCAGCTGCTCTACTCTGAGCTCCTCCCGGATGGCCGAACTTCTCACCCTATCTCTAAGGGAGAGGCCAGCCACCCTTCGGGGGAAGCTCATTTCTGCCGCTTGTATCCGCGATCTCGTCCGCTTGTATCCACTTGACCTGAGTCCACATTAAAGGAAAATCTGTTTTTATGTTTTAAATAATATTACAGATTTGTTTTATGTGTCTCTGTGCTGTATCAGTAATAATCTCAGGCTGCCAGCCCCTATTAAAATTCTCTTGCTCCCCCCACTGCCTGTCAGCCAGGTCAAAGCAAGAATTTATGAACCCATTATTGCTTGAAGTGAGACAAATATAATAACTAATAATATAAACTAATAATATATTTTTTTTAACTACATGCATGAGCATCTGTGCTACAATCAAAGCAACACTGCATGAATATTACTGGTCAAGTCAAAAACCATAAACTGTGCACAGTATTGTTTATCTGCTAACCAGAAGATTTTCCATAATAATAATTATAAAAAAAAATAAAGTTATACTTGCAGAGTTCTTGCAGCATAACGTTAATGCAGTATTTGCTGGGATATGCAGTATTTACAAAGGTTGATTACAGTTTATTCCACAACATGGCGATGTACCACCCTAAATGACACCAACACGCAGCTGTTTTCATTATTAGGCGGTTTTTCTTTTTCTTAAGGAGGACCTGCTGCAATAGAAACTCTGCTTGAAGTTCCAAAGAAGAACGATTTACATTAACAGTGTTCATTATTAAACTGTTATATGAAAAATGTGTAAATGACTAAAAATAAGCCTTCTTACTGTTACAAATTGACTACAGAGTTTCAATTTAATTTATTCATTTTATATTATTTATACAGCGCCAAATCACAACAACAGTTGCCTCAAGGGACTTTATACTGCAAGTTAGTAATACAAAGAAAACTCGACCAATCAACCTTTGATGAGAGCAGAAAGGAAAAACTGTTTTTAGCAGAAAGAAACCAGTCCCAGTATCAGGGATGGGGCAAAGGCACGCTATGGAAGAGAGCCACAGATTAAGAAGAAACACTCAGTGCATCGTGGGAAGATTTGTGCGAATAGCCGCTTCATTGAGTTGTGTTGCTAGATGCTGCCCTCTAGTGGGTGTTGTGAGCCCTTAGAGGGAAGTTGAGGTGAAAATAACAAACAGCTTTCACTGTAGTTATGAGAGTGACTTTAGAGCTCCAGGTTCTTATCAGCCGACTGCAGGCAGAAAGTCAACGTCTGTCTGCAATTCTACTGAAGCCAGAGTCTTCGCTTTAGGCCTCAGATATGACATGAAAATCAGCTCTCGTAGCACGTGTCGACATCACGGAGTATTTATCTGACAGCAGGCCCCTATCTCTAAGTAGACGAGCTGTCACATGAATGTCACATTATTCTGAGAAGAGCCGATTCAGAAAAGGAGAGCAGTGTGATTAAAAGCTTTTATTTATGTACAATAAGAAATTTCTGGCTCCCTGTCATGTGGAATGGCAGCGAACATATTTACACATATTTACATGTCAGGGTTTTAAAAACAATAAATCCTGTTATAATTTTAATCTGACTTCAGAGCGAAACGCCAAAGCTTTTAACTGCAGTCTGTGGAAAGTTTGTTAGCAGGACGTTTAATTATAAACTTGTAAAACTCACTTTTCTTAATATAAGAAACACACAAACAAATGTACAAGAGGACGTTAGTGTGCAACACACATACAGTCCGCATGGAAGGCAACATTTCATGTTATGACTCTGTGGATGTGCCATTTTCAACATAAACAGGATTTTAAAGTACAGAACGAGAGAGCAGAAGAAAGAACATCTAAAACTCATTAAAATGATGCGTTTAATCATTTTGAATATATGTAAGGTACATCCAGTTCATAAATTAAACCTACAACTAAGAGGTAACAGAATATGTTGACCCTCTGCTTGTGTTGAAAATGTCAAACTCATCTTTTCACATTGACTTGGTCAATTGAGCTTATCTCTCTGAGATAAAGTGCAGCACATAAAGGCCAGATAAACACTTCTACATGTGGAGGTTACAAAGTGAAATAGCTAAGTTATACATGAGATCTGTTTAAAAATCTTTTAGCTGATCGTATTCAGTATGAAACATTATGCGCTGATGACTACACATGACATCTATGTCAGTTTTACTCCTCATCACCGGACTTCCTTTCTTTTCCCTACAGATCACCAATCACATGCTAACAGTGCACTACTGTGTATTAACACAATATTACTGTGCACATCACCTCCATACTGACCGTCTTTTTCACAGGAAGTTCAGACTTGCCCCAAAAACAAACCTCGGAGGAACACACAGAGTTCTTTGGTAAATATGCAGCAAAGAAAAATTCAACTTCAGTAAAATTCTGACATCAACATGTCATTCAACTATTATACTACACATAACAAGAAGATACTTTTTGATTTGACCAATAATTGCAATCCACCTGAAACTGATCCAATTTATAAAACTATAAAAATAGCTCCACACAATCACTCTGCAGCACCAACACTAAAATCTTTAATCTCTGAATAACTCAAGCAGCATTGCGTAACATCGCTGGCCACCGGTGTGATAAAACTGTCTGTGTGACTGAGCTAAAGGTTTGATCAGATGACTTACACTGTCACCAGTCTCTCGTTTCAGGGACGCTGGGCTCTATTTGCTTTGTGCTCATTTTTCCAAGTAACTCAGTGTGACTCCTTTAATTAGTAAAATGTGTCCTAAAGACCCCTGAAGAACCGCAGAGAGAGTTCATAGGTCAGGAACATGGTGGAGCTCATTGGGAAGCCTCGGATGGCGTTCACTGATGCTCCCCTGAAGAACACCTGAACATTAAAAAAAAAAAGAGAAAGTTGGAATTAAATATGTTAAACTGTCTACACACATCTGTTATCATTCCAGATCTTTGGTGCCGCGCTGACAGGAAACATGAGTGAAGGTGAACACAGCCCACAGACCGCAGTGTTACGTTGATTTTTCTTTGGGGACGCTGGCCTGTAGTAACCCAACTCACTGACCTCTGTTCACATCAACAGTCCAGTTTACTTTCTCAGAACCTGACCCCTCCTGATTTCTGGACACTGCAATAGCTTGTCTACAGTTTACAACCTTTGACATTATGAACAGCACGAATCAGACACACAGATGCAACATTTGCTCGTCTCAGGCCAGGACACCAGCCGTGTGACAAATGCTGACCTGACATAACCCCACATAAGGTTTTCTGCAGCATATGGCCCGTTTTATTTTATAAGAGGATATTTTTTTACAACGAGGAGTTTCACTTTTTCATCCTGTACAGGTCTTAGCAAAATTATTAGACCACCACCCAAAGTAAGGTTTGTTGCCACAGCTGCCCAAAACTAACAATACTGATAATTACTGCAATTATCAGCAGTATGAACGGCCTCTTTCATGGAAATATTTTTAATCCTAAAATATAATTCTTGTTGTTGTCCATGTTAGGGTCTAGAAATCTCTGGAGGTGCAGAATGAGTGGAAACACCAAAGGGCAACTTTCAGCAGCATCTCTGACATCACTTTTGGTGTTGGTGGTGACAAAGGCAGGTGTAACAGGCCTTTTAAGCCTCGCTGGGGAAGAGGTTTCATGCCAAGTATCTGAAGAGAATTCTTTCCTTGTAATTTAAATATTTTCAGCAGAAACATTTGAGGAACCAAAAAGTGAACTTCAAACTTCACACATGTGAGAGCATTCAGTCTGCTTATTGGACAGATGTCTGTAGCAGCTATATGGCCCATTGATGCCCAGGGAGTGTCATGACTTACCCATGTGGAGGCGTGTCATTGAGGCTCAGTTTGGTAAGATGTTTGTAAAATTTCTTTTTTCTTTAAAATAGATATTGATACGATTTCAGGGACAACGTGTTGACCCAAGCACACACAACATTCGTTCAGGAAGCCCTGAGATCGGTACTACAGTGTCTCTGATGGACAAACTTTGTGCATCTTGGTTGATTTCTTCAGGCAGAAGCTTCAGTGTTCAAGCTGCGGTAACTTGTGTGCTCTGCTGGATCCTCAGATACAAAGCTCACATGGACACAGCTAAGTGTCCAAACACAGCGGGTAGCTGAGTTTGCATTGTGTTTTTGCTGTTTGTGTGGAGCCAGATCGA